ATAGGAAAGAGAAAAGAAAAATAAAGAAAAAGAGAAAGAAAGAAAAAACATAAAAGAAGAAGAAAAAGATAACAGAAATAGAAACTAACGGAGGAATGGACGGATTGTCACCTCTTAGTAAGTTTTTGGATAATTTAAGGTACCTCGGAGTATATTTTAAAAAATAATGGGACCTGAAAGGAAACATTTTCGCAATTATAAATGTTAACTGCATTTGTCGTCAATGCCCCCGATCAGTAAACAATGTATATAGTTTTTACAATGTTACATATTTATAATTATTACAATATCTCGGATCAATGAACAATGTCCATAAAAAAGAAAATATTAGCAAACGGGTCAATGAGAGAGAGAATCGATCAAGAGGAGAAAAAAGATACAAAGACGTTTTGGTAAATGAATATTATTAATAATTGCTTAAAAAAATTAGTTTAAAGTTAGTTTTGGAAAAAAACTTGTTCGGTGCTACGGAGTATTAGATGAAAAAATGTTAAGTTTTGGTGCTATTTGAAGCAAATTTCACCTTTTTAAATTTAGCTATGGCTTCAAAAAGGGGGAAATGAAAATACACTTCTTATTTTCTTCGGCTATGGCTTCCCATATATTCCATCTCAAAATTAAAGTAAAGAAATATCGTTCGGTTAGGATTTTTGAGTTCGTTTCTGCCTCTATCGGCCGCCGTTTCTCCCTCGATGACAAATATAGTGCGCACCTGTGATGTATTTGGTCATTTTTTGGTGTACAAGTAACTTAATTTTTGTATGCCCGCATACCAATTTGTTTAATTTCCAGATTCAGATTATACCATCAGGTTTTATCAATCCATCAGCACGATGGAGGCATGAAGGTTTAATTTTTTTTCTTGCGGATATAACCAACGTGATAAGAGAATTGTTAGTCTACTGATAGTAGGATAATGCTAGGACGCCACCATATGCCATCATATAGGTATTACCATGAGTGGAATCATGCTTCACTCAGACAAACACAGATAATAATCTATGTCGCACAGACGATTAGTGTCTTTGTTTGTCTGTGCGAAGCATGGGTGCACACATGGTAACATCCATCTAGTGGCACCCTAGCATGACCCGAGTATTGTTCATCTCTCATTCGGAGGATTCTCATTCATGTAATTAGGGTTTTTTGCTTTCATAGGGGTCTCTTTGGTTGGAAGAGAGGGGAGGGGATACGAAGATATTTCATACCAAACCGAATAATTGGTTCGGTATATGGGAACGATACAAGGTAATTTCCATAGCAAAATTCTCGAACAGAAGATATATACTAATATATATATATATACTACTCCCTCCGTCCGGGAAAGATCTTCCCACTCTGTCGTTTTTGCGTGCGAAAAAACTTTTTCATTCTACTTTTCATACCACTCTTTCAAAAAATACCCCTCTCATAAATCACATGTATT